ACAAGATTGGTGCCAGTAGTTTGTTTTGAGTATGGGAGTCCTATTTGTTGTTGATGTTGGATAGACAACTGTCATTTCGCAAAGATAATTTTACAAATGTGGATATAAATGGTTTCAGATACAGAATTGTTTAAAGGGCATTAAAAACCTGTTCTACGAGATAGAAAACCTTGTTTACTCAGGTGCTGCATACCATGAAGTTAACCTTGTTTTCTTTGAGCCTGTTTTATTTGTATATTGTTGAGTGAAGAAAGAGAAACTTCTAAAATCAGCATAAAATGGGTTCTTTTATTCATAGATTCATAGATATTAAGGTCAGAAGGGACCATTATCATCATCTAGTCTGACCTCCTGCACAATGAAGGCCACAGAATCTCACCCACCCACTCCTGTGATAAACCTTTCACCTATGTCTGAGCTATTGAAGTCCTCAAATCATAGTTTAAAGACTTCAAGGAGCACAGAATCCTCCAGCAAGTGACCTGTGCCGCATGCTACAGAGGAAGGCGAAAAACCTCCAGGGCCTCTTCCAAACTACCCTGGAGGAAAATTCCTTCCAGACCCCAAATATGGCGATCAGCTGAACCCTGAGCATATGGGCAAGATTCACCAGCCAGATACCCAGGAAAGAATTCTCTGTAGTAACTCAGATCCCACCCTATCTAATATCCCATGGGGCCTATTTACCATGAATATTTAAAGATCAATTAATTGCCAAAATCATGTTATTCAATCATACATTCTCCTCCATAAACTTATCGAGTTTAATCCGCTCGAACCCCCTTCTAAACACAACCAGACTTTCCACTTGCATCTCCAGTCCTCTGATCTTTTCCTCCATCAGCTCTATTAGACGACATTTCATGCAGACAAAACTCTTACCAGGTAGCCCCTCCAGGATCATATACATACCGCAGCTTCCACATCCAGTCATCTTCATTGTGTCTTCCACTACATGGGTCACTCCCACTGCTGTCTCTGTATCTGTCATAGCCTTCTCACCTATATCCTGTTAATTTGGGAAACACAAACCACACCAAAACACCACCACCCACAGCAAAAGCAAACCCCAAACAAGTACCACAATACAAACTCCCACTGAAACTCCCCTGTTTACAACTCTGTTTGCTGGCTCCTCTGCTGCTGTAGCTGTCTGTGCTGCTGCCTGGCTGGCTGGCTGGCTACCTGTATAGGACCCCTAGTCAGGGAAGCCCTGCCCCCTAATCAGGGCTCAGCTTCTCTCCCAGCACAAAGCCACTACAAGCCTCTGCACATACAAATAATACAAATACAAGACCAAATACAAATACCTTCTCCAACAGAACTCCCACTGAAACTCCCCTGTTTACAGCTCTGTTTGCTGGCTCCTGTGCTGCTCTAGCTGTCTGTTGTCTTGTCTTAAATACAAAATGACACCAGGATAATGTTCCAAAAGCATTTATTTTGTCATTTGGGGCCTAGCAGAGGGAACAGCAGAATACAAGTTTGTATAGTTTATTCTCTTACAAAATATTATGTGGCTCAGTTTGCAATTGTGCAACTTCTGGGTTCCTCCTCATTTGCTCTGACAGGCAGGATAATGACCGATTGCCAGCCAGGATTTTTCTGCTGTCTAGTGCTGCTTCTTCTGCCTTTTCCATTTGATTTGTGCCTTAGGGTAACATTTAGGGCAATCCTATGTAACAGTGTGTCAAGGTTCCTTCCCCACCCTGAACTCTAGGGTACAGATGTGGGGACCTGCATGAAAACCTCCTAAGCTTACTTTTACCATAGAATCATAGAATCATAGAATATCAGGGTTGGAAGGGACCCCAGAAGGTCATCTAGTCCAACCCCCTGCTCAAAGCAGGACCAATTCCCAGTTAAATCATCCCAGCCAGGGCTTTGTCAAGCCTGACCTTAAAAACCTCTAAGGAAGGAGATTCTACCACCTCCCTAGGTAACGCATTCCAGTGTTTCACCACCCTCTTAGTGAAAAAGTTTTTCCTAATATCCAATCTAAACCTCCCCCACTGCAACTTGAGACCATTACTCCTCGTTCTGTCATCTGCTACCATTGAGAACAGTCTAGAGCCATCCTCTTTGGAACCCCCTTTCAGGTAGTTGAAAGCAGCTATCAAATCCCCCCTCATTCTTCTCTTCTGCAGGCTAAACAATCCCAGCTCCCTCAGCCTCTCCTCATAACTCATGTGTTCCAGTCCCCTAATCATTTTTGTTGCCCAGCTTAGGTTAAAACTTCCCCAAGGTACAAACTATTTTACCCTTTGCCCTTGGACTTCCGCTGCCACCACCAAACGTTTATCTGGGTTTATTTATTAGGAAAGCATTGTTTGGAAACGTCTTTCCCCCCAAAATCCTCCCAACACTTGCACCCCACTTCCTGGGGAAGGCTTGGTAAACATCCTCACCAATTTGCGTAGGTGAACACAGACCCAAACCCTTGGATCTTAAGAACAATGAAAAAGCATTCAGTTTCTGAAAAGAAGGATTTTAATAGAAGTAAAAAAGAATCACCTCTGTAAAGCAGGATGGTAAATACCTTACAGGGTAATTAGATTCAAAACATAGAGAATCCCTCTAGGCAAAACCTTAAGTTACAAAAAGACACACAGACAGGAATATCCATTCTATTCAGCACAGCTTAATTTCTCAGCCATTTAAAGAAATCATAATCTATTACATATCTAGCTAGATTAAGTACTAAATTCTAAGACTCCATTCCTGTTCTGTCCCCGGCAAAAGCATCACACAGACAGACACAGACCCTTTGTTTTTCTCCCTCCTCCCAGCTTTTGAAGCTTCCTCCCAGTCTCCTCACTGGTCATTTTGGTCAGGTGCCAGCGAGGTTATCCTAGCTTCTTAACCCTTTACAGGTGAAAGGATTTTTCCTCTGGCCAGGAGGGATTTTAAAGGTGTTTACCCTTCCCTTTATATTTATGACACAGTGCCTGGCTGCCATGTGTGTCTCAACACAGTGAAGGCTAAAAGCAGGAGGTGGGAACACCTCAACTGTTCCTCTTACAGTACTGTTTTCCAGTGGATGCCTTCAGCATTTTCAGTACTGTCACAGAGGAACCTTCCACACCTCAGTGGAATGAGACAACTCTGAAGCAATTTCTGTAGCTGTAACAAAACTAGTCATTTAAATTGTCCAAAGGGGAGAGAAGCTTATCTTCTGTGGCAGAGATATTCCCCAAAGTAGTAGTGGTGTAAGTTGGGGTTTGTAGCATGGTCTTTGATGCTATGAAAGATAAATCCAGTCTCTCAAGCGAAAGCAAAATAGACAAAAGCTTTCCCCCAGGTATCTTCAGGCTCTGAAAAGAAGGTGCTTCAATATCTTAAGGAGTAAGGGGTCCACTTCTTTTCCCTTAGCCAGTGAAGTGCTTGAGTACATCAGTGAGTTCTTGGCTATTTAATCTTAATGGGAGGGATTCCACATGTTATCAAAAACATTTTTTGAGTGTTCCCAGGGATTTACTCATGGGTTTCTTCCACTTTTTCCTGGTACTTATTTGACCTGAATGCTGAATGATGATCGTACAGAGAACAGCAGGGGTGAAAGTAACCTAAAGGACTTACTCGTACTCCGGGGTCCTGAGTAGGGGGCAGGACCTCAACTGGAAGACGCAGGGCCTTTAGAGCCCCGGGCCCTTTAAATTGAGATTTTTGACCAGAGTGCCCCTCCAAAAACGGACCCTAGCGGCTCTGGTCAGCACTGCTGACTGGGCCATTAAAAGTCCGGTTGGCGGCGCAGTGGGGCTAAGGCAGGTTCCTGGAAGCAGCGGCATGTTCCCCCTCCAGCTCCTACGTGTAGCAGCAGCCAGGGGGCTCTGCACACTTCCCCCACCCCAAGTGCCCGCTTTGCAGCTCTCATTGGCTGGGAACTGCAGCCTGAGCTGGAGAAAGCTTAGTGCAAATTTAGCTGCCAGAATCTAAGAAGGCTCTACTGCGCATGTACACTGATTTTTTTTCTTTCAGCCACTGAGATTCTAATGCTATCTTTAGATTCCAACAGAAGGAGCATTATGGAAAACAGAAAATAGTGCAAGACTTGTGATAAAATCACAAGAGTTGGCAACACTGATAAAAACTAGGATTCGCCAAGGCATAGGTTCCAGACTAATTTTGGTGTGGGAATACACAGGAACATATGAACAGTGGAGTTAGTGAAAATTGCATAACCCTATCACTGCCCTTTCACAGTGCAAATGTGCTCTTGTGACTGGAAAGCTAATGGGTGGCTCCTTGAAAGGAAAGTTCTGTTCTTGCTCCCACAGTGATCTCTAACGCAAAGTGTCATAGGACTAGCTCACATGTACAAGGCTGCAGATATGGGTAACAGCCCCCAGACCCAAGCTTCTGTCCTCTGCTGCAGTGGAACTCAACCAAAGTGCATGAGTATATATGTTCAAGCTTATGGACCTACCATCGTAGGTCCCTGTCTCAAATGGCTTATAACCACCTGCAGCATGGAGAACGGTGAGCTACAAAGCAAGAGCAAACACGCTTAAAATTCAAGTGGAAAAAAAGTTTTAGAAGTTCAAAACACCAAAAACAGGCAGAAAGTAGCAGGAGAGAAAATGGTAGCAACTATACCAGGGCCTGGTCTGAGGAGACATTGCTGGGATGTGTGTGGTCCTTAACCAGAAAAGGTTGGGAACCACTGAATTAGGCCAAGAAATCAGTTGTAGATTTTGTTAAAACTTTATTCTGTCATTGAGTAAGCAATAAGAATTAGAAACAATTGTCACTGAACTGCTTTGAAGCAATGTTTTTGAGCACAGTGTTATTGGCATGGTTTCTGTGGAGATACTTCTTGTGTTTTTTCTGCCATGGATAATGCTTGAAAACTACATAAGTAAACCAAAGCTATCTTCTAGAGACTCTAGGAAAGCTTTCTGTTGTTACGTTGTGATATTAAACTGTAATTTGTTTCAGCATGAGGGGTGATTAATATTGATATGTGTCTTATTCACTAATCTGTTTATTTCTGTTTATAGGAGAGGTCTGCTTACAATATACATGGCCAATTTGGTAAGTAATCCTTTCTTCTAAGAATAAAATTATATGTGGTATTGGAAGTGCATATTATAAATTAATTTTAATAATTTAAGTTAATTGTCTTTTTAAACCTTGAAATTTTTTTATTTTCAAAAACTCAAATTATCTTAATGCCAAAAGTTTGACAATTACTTTTTAAAAGCAAATAATTTCAGAGTAAAGATTGAAACATAATTCACTATATGGTGCTTAGATTCTCTTCTACCTCAGTGCTAAGACAGTGGCTCATTCTATTTACCATATCAACAGCAATTTAATTGTAAAGACATGTAAATAACTTTGTGTTTGATTTTGTGGATTAGAGTCTAGTCCCTCAAATTCCCTTGCATTTAAATTGTATTTTTAGTTAATTGATTTATATTATATGCTATGACTGAATACACACATTTTACCATGTGGTAATCTCGATATAAAATTGCTGTATAATCCATATTCTCTGTAAAATTCCATTAAACTCAATGATGTGTGTTCAGTTTATTTAAATAGTGCATTGCAAAGTAAATGTTATAGTAATTTTACTTTAAATGTCTCATGATCATACTGCTCAGAATGATGTGGATATTCCACAAGCAATATTCAACCTTGTTTTTTCTTTTTTTGTGTGATTTTTTTAAACTGATTTTTATGAAGAAAAATAACAAAAAGTGTTAAAAAGATAATGATTTACAGCTTGTATATGTTCCTGAATACTGTACGCTTGCAGGATCTCCAATAAAATTAGTTTTACAACTTGTCAAAAGTGTACAAATACAAGACAAAGCTATGTAGACATAACATGTGGTGGTGGTGACTTACAGTAATAAAATAGGTTTCAGAGTAGCAGCCATGTTAGTATGTATTCGCAAAAAGAACAGGAGTACTAGTGGCACCTTAGAGACTAACAAATTTATTAGAGCATAGGCTTTTGTGGGCTACAGCCCACTTCATTGGATGCATAGAATGGAACACATAGTAAGATATATACACATACACATACATACACACGTACAGATAAGTTGGAAGTTACCATACAATTGGCCTCTCACTTTGTATGGTAACTTCTAACTTATCTGTATGTGTGTGTGTGTATGTATGTATAATATATATACATATATATATATATATATATCTTTATCTTACACACACACACACAGATACAGATAGTTGGAAGTTACCATATGTGTGTATATATCTATATCTATCTAATCTATCTATCTCTTACTAAGATAGATATATATATACACATACAGATAAATTGGAAGTTACCATACAAGCTGTGAGAGGCTAATTAGTTAAGATGAGCTACTATCAGCAGGAGAAAAAAACTTTTGTAGTGATAATCAAGATGGCCCATTTAGACAGTTGACAAGAAGGTGTGAGGAAACTTAATTTGATTATCACTACAAAAGATTTTTTCTCCTGCTGATGGTAATTCATCTTAACTAATTAGCCTCTCTGTTTGTATGGTAACTTCCAACTTATCTGTATGTATGTATGTGTACCTATATATATCTATATATAGATATATATCTTACTATATGTTCCATTCTACGCATCCGATGAAGTGGGGTGTAGCCCACGAAAGCTTATGCTCTAATAAATTTGTTAGTCTCTAAGGTGCCAGTAATATAACAGGAGAAGACATTCATGAATAGGAATTAAAAAGCAAGGAGAGAGGCCTGGGAGGTGTTATCAGGTGAAATAAACATCTGACATTCTTCAAGCAGTCTGAATGTTGTTTTTTTCCCATCCAAATGTATCTGGAAATGGGGGCATATATCTTTGAATTCATATAATTGATCTCAGCAGCAGTAAGTTATTCTTTCTTTGGATGCTCATTCAGACAGGTCTGAAAACCACTGTTTTCTTACATCTTTGTAAAATCACTTGGTGATCATTGCATCCCTCAAGAACCAAAGTCTCTGTGGTGGAGTTAAACCCGGCCTAGCAGGTAAATATCCTAAAATATAATTTTCAGCATGGGCCTGGCTGCTGAAGTGAAGCACCATTTTCACGCTTGTGTCCACCTCTTTCCAAAGCTGCCTAACTGTTGGACAGGCCCATAGCACAGCTTTATTTTATTACAGCACCAACAAACATCAGAAGATGCACTTTTATCTTGTGCAACATCTGTAGCATCCAGTCCACTTTTAAATAAAATATTTTGCTTTATCAAGCATAGTCTATGATCCAAAGAGGCTTCTTAAACATAACATAGTATGATCTGCCATTGAGATGCTTTTAAGGGTGGTGGTAAATCCTCTTGTAATGCTTTAACAAAGAACTTGACTAGTGGAGTTCCTCTTCATTCGTAAATCATACATGTAGAGCCTGGGCCTGAAGAGTTCATGAAATATTTCTAAAGTTCCTAAGTAGTTCTGGGGCCTTTGGCAGTTCTATGTGTCCATGCCAAGTTGATGTAGTAGTAAATGTCTTCATTGTAAGTGCTGCCACTCAGCTGAGGGTGGCAGTTCATAGTAGTGCTTTGGCATTAGAAAAGGGACAAAGCACTCACTATTGATTAATTGGGAAGCCTGTATGATGCCCCTACTCTGCCATTCCTTCCAAATGATAGGTTTGTTCCTAATTTGCAAATCTGGGTTGCCCCGTATAGGCAATTGTCCACAAAACTAAGGATGTAACTGGTATCTGGTAGCTAGGATAGCCCAGACTTTCATGCAGCAATGACTGTGTCCCTGAAGACCTGGTTATCCGAGACCACATTGTTGGTCGTGATGTGAGAAGTTGCTAGAATATAGCAGTTGGATCCAGAAACTAAACATAGGTTTTATACACCACAATATTTGGATTTGGACCAATCTCCAGCCCAGTCTTTCAAAATCCTTTTCTGTGTCTAACCCTAGAATGACTGGGGTTCAACATATTTGACAAAATGTTGATATGGCAATGAAAGCTTATCAGAGCCATAATGGCCTCTGACAATCCCAAATTCTTTTGGGTGTATGATAGAGCCCATAATTTCTCTAATTTCCTCACCAAAACTTTTGCCAGTATGCCAATATTTTGACATCACTGTTAACAGGTGAAATTGGCCTATAACTGGAACAAAGTGTGGCATCTATTCCTCTTTCACTAAGGCCATGCTGGTTAAAAAACTGACTTGTTTTAAAGGGGAAGTGAAGGCAGCTGTAATTAGTGTGTATGTGTGCATAAGAAAAGGGAAGCTGATAGAAATGGATATTAATCAGAATATAGGAAATGTAGAAAACTGATAAGAAAGCAAAGGGACACAAGGAGTAATCTATGGCCAGCAGAGTTAAGCACAATAAAAAGGAGTTATTTAAATGTAGAATTATGAATAATAATGCAGAAAAGGCAGAAGTGGTCAATAAATATTTCTGTTCCATATTTGGGGAAAAAATAGATGATGCAGTCTCAGCATATGGTAATAACACTTTCCATTCCGCTCGTATCTCTGGAGGATGATAAAAAGAAGCTACTAAAGTTGGACATTTTAAAACCAGCTGGTCCAGATAATTTGCATCCTAGAGTTTTAAAAGCACTAGCTGAGGAGCTAAATTTTGGAGCATGGGGAAAGTTCCAGAGGACTGGAAGGAAGCTAATGTTGTGCCAGTTTTTAAAAAGGATAAAAGGGATGACCTGGGTAATTATAGGCCTATCAACCTACATCAGTCCCTGACAAAAAAAATGAAGTGGCTGATATGGGACTCAACTAATAAAGAATTAAATGAGTGTATTGTAATTAATGCAAATCATCCTGGGTTTATTGAAAATATATCCTGTATATTTGGTATATTTTTTATGAGTTTATAAATTTGGATGATAAAGGTAATGTTGCTGACATAATGTACTTATAGTTCTTTAAGGTGTTTGACTTGGTACAAATGACATTTTGATTAAAAAACTAAAACAATATAAAATTAACATGGAACACATTAAATGGATTAAATGTTGGCTAACTGATAGATCTCAAATTGTGATTGTAAATAGGGAATCATGAAGTGGGTGTGTTTCAGTGCGATCCCACCAGGATTGTTTTTTGGCCCTATGCTATTTAATATTTTTATCCATGACTTGGAAGAGAACAATAAATCATCTCTAAAGATTGCAGATGACACAAAAATTGGGGAAGTGGTAAATAATGAAAAGGACAGGTCACTGATTCAGAGCAATCTAGATCACTTGGTAAACTGAGCGGAAGCAAACAGTATGCGTTTTAATATGACTAAATATAAAAGTATGCATCTAGGAACAAAGAATGTATGCCCAACTTACGTTATGGGGAACTTTTATCCTGGGAAGCAGTGACTTTGAACATTTTTTGGGGGGTGGTGGAGAATAATCTGCTGAACATTACTTACTGTAACTGAAGGTTCTTCAAGATATGTCGTCCCTATTTGTATTCCACTATCCATCCTCCTTCCCCTCTGCTTCAGACTTGACCGCACTGCAGTAAGAGGAGGAACTGGAGTGGGGTCGACCCGCACTGCCCCTTGTACCCTTGGTCAGGAGCAGGAGAAGACGTATCGCACATGTGCAGATCAATGGATATAGCTTGGAAAAATCTTCCAGATTCAGGTGCATGGTATGTATGCACATCCACGTGTGAAATAAAGATAGGGGCCACACATCTTGAAGAAGCTCCAGTTACAGAAATAACCTCCGCTTTTGTGTGATATGTGATCCACTAGGAACTTTCCCATCCTACATTAAAGAAAATAGAATAGGTTGCATGCCAAGTTTCCTTTGGAATTTGAACAGTGGACACTAACATTTTTTTTAAACTGGGATTTTTAATAGAATTGTCACAGACTCTTTAACTACATAAGCTAACAGAGCTTTGGCTTCCTAATAAAAGTAATCTAGTCTTGCAAGATTTAACATTTTTCTTCCCTAATTCAAGTAGAATCAACTTGCTCAAGCATCTTGCAGTGGAAGTGTAGATTATAAGATTGGTAATACTTAATAGGAGATGTTATCCATTTGGAAAGGACTTTTCAGGACAGGAGTTC